AAGGTGCGATAGAACAAATGTGTTTAAGTTCTTTATTTAAATTTTGCCCAAAAGTTATGAACAGAAGTTATTACTTATATTCTGAATATTGGTTAATTTAAACAAATTAACAAAGAGTTGTACGTTAATCTAATTCATCATTAGTATGAAAATTATTGCTTTTTCTATTTCACTAAATCTCTGTCTCCAGTCTATGGAAGCAGGTTTCTGTGTGTCACACTAATGACAAACATTTTATTCTATTCTGAAAATAACAACAGTGACATTAGTTTAGAGAAAATTATAACAGGACATTTTCATTGTATTGGCAGAAATGCTCTTATACAGAAACAGAATAATACAGTAAATAATATAATCGGCTTCATGTTCACAGTGAATGTTGTACAGCTGTTGTGTTGGGTTATTTTAAGATGTTCATGTTTGTCTTATCTTGAAAAAGAATATATTTATTATTATAAATCCCAGTTTAATGTCTGACTCCTCCTGACATCACAGGGGATCAATCTCAACAACCAGTCGAGGACAGAGGTCTGAGGTCTGAGATGGATTCTTACGGCTCCTCACTGAACCGCAGCCAGTCGCTGGCCAGCGGCCTGGAGAAGACGTCGCCGGCGTGGAAACCGTCCCACTCTCGGAGCAGCAGCACCGTGTCGTCCCGTCACTCCAGACAGGTGAGTCCCAGGTCGGTCAGCCATGTTGTTGTTGGGCTTTTATTCTGAAACAAGAGACAAGTTTTCCCTATAACATCAAAAAACAAGTGCTCGGTTCTCCTGATGAATCTTTGGCTGTTTTCACATCAAACCTCTGAGATTAGTGAACCAGATGTTTTGTGAAAGTCAGTAAAGATGCAGAAGTGGGTCAGCACCATCCAGTCAGTGACGATGACGTCATTATTACAACTATACCCAACCTGTGTGGAAGTGAACACAGTTACGAAAAAGACGATTAAAACAAAGGAGTCACTTCTTGTGTCGCAGCCAAATGAACCTCGTCCGTTTCTCCCGTCCGCAGATAATCAAAGATTGGGAAGTGATCGACGAGCTTCATGTGGAAATCCACCCGGGAGGCGAGATCCCTCAGGAAATGGGGCCCCCGGGGATCTGTGAAGGATATCTGCTGAAGAGGAGGAAGTGGCCACTGAAGGGTTGGCACAAGGTGAGAACTCCTCTGTCGTCCGGTATGAAGGCGTTGACCTTATCGATGAAGACGTTTTATTTTGAACCGTGTTTTCTCCCTCAGAGATACTTTGTCTTGGAAGCCGGGATCTTGCGTTACTCCAAAAACCAACAGGACGTGAGTGAAGAAGACGTTTTACCACGTGATCGATATACACAACAGATTTGAAAAATGTTTAGAAGAACCTGTTTTCCTCATTAGGTCTCCAGGGGGCGGGTCCAGGGCTCTCTGGATGTCAGCCTCGCTGTCATTTCAATAAACAGGAAATCGAACCGTATTGACCTGGACGCAGGAGACATCCTCTATCACATGAAGGTAAACGTACGTAACACACACGAGATGTGGCTCCAAGATTAAAAAGGCGATTGCCTGACTTTACTCTCCTCCCCAAGACAAAGAGCCATGAACTCTTCTACATCTGGGTGACCAAGCTGCAGGCCCATCGCTTGTTCAAGAAGAACGAGGCGGCTCAGGTCCACAGCAGCTTCATCCACACGTTGTCCCACAGCGCGGCGGCTGGACAAGCTCAGAGAAACGGAGACGTGGTGAATAAAGTGTCCCCCGTGCACAGCAGAGTTCACGAGTGTCTCAGGACAAAGTGTGAGATGAGCTCCCGTGTTTTTGTTTCACAGGTGGTTCATTCGGCTGCAGCATCCGGAGCTCTGCCGTCACCAAACACCGCCGTCAACAGCAAGGTGTCCGCCTGGCTGCAGCAGAGTCACGACCCAGACACCTGCGTTCAAGGTTTACGTCTTATTTTGATACGGACAACGAGGAGGTTGTGTTTTAGTTTTCTTTAGCAGGATTACACAAAAACCACTGGATGGATTAACACAGAAGTTGGTGGAAGGATCTGGATCACATGGGGGCGGATCCAGAATGATTTTATTATTTTGTTTGTCTTTACTTATAGTCTAAAATTTATAGTGTAAAACCAGAACGACTCCACCCAACGTCAAACAGCTTTTAATAACTGTCTTCACAAGAGGTGATCAGGACCTCAGGGTCCTCATCTGACCCTTCGCTCGCTGTGATGTAATGAAAGATTACACCTCTCATGTTCTCCTGCAGAGCTCAACCACTGCCACCTGGACCTGTCGGAGCTAAACCGTCTAATCCAGAGGCTGCAGGCGCTGGAGGCCGGCCAGGCTTTCAGCAACGGAGACCTGCAGCGAATCATCAGCACACAGGTAGACGACTGGGGGAGCTCGCTGCTGCTCATTCAACCGCCTCACATGCAAATACAGTGATATCCTGTTACGCTCTCTGACAGAATCTCTCTCTGGAGAAGCCGAAGAAGTCGAAGTCGGGGAAGATGTGGGGACACTCTCGCACCCTGTCCAGAGTGGAGGCCCTGGGAATGGTAAGAATGGTCTGTAACCTGCTTCGTCTATCACTACATAGGATGAATGTGCATAATGTTTTACATTGATTTGAAATACTAAATGGTTTTTGAGTGAAATCTTGCTTGTGACTCTCTCTCCAATCCAAAGCCCATTCGAGGGATTTCTAAATCGGTGAGTCCTCTGAAGGATGCAGCCCCCAATGTATCTTTGTGTGTGTGTCTGTGTGTGTCTTTGTGTGTGTGTGTCAGAAGTGTTTTATTCAACATCTAAAACAAACTTTGACAAATGCTAATTGACCTGTTTTGATGAACTAATGATCCGCCCTGTTCCGTTCACGTCCCAGCTGTCCTCCAGTCACCTGAGCAGCTCACCTCACCTCGGTGCATCAGTCCCCTCCATCCCTGAGTACGTCTACTCTCAGCTGTCCCCTCCCACGGTCGCATCGCCCGAGGGCAAGAAAATCCAGCAGGACATCTGTGCCACGTCGCTACGAGGTCAGAGGAACAGATGCGGGCAGCTGGTCCCGGAAATAAAAATAAAGAGATTTTGATTATCTGCCAAAACATTTTAACCTTCCAAGGTAGACAGGTGCTCCTGTAGAGGCCACAGGTCCGCACCAAACCAACTTCATGTTTTATTTACTTTCACTAGAAGTACTACACTACCCACAATCCTCCAGGGTTATAGGTGTGATTGGTGGAACTCACTGTTGCCATGGAAACCTTTACCACAACCGTGAAAATCACGTCAGCTCCAAAATGCTGCAGTTTTTTTTTTTTTTAAGAGACGAAGAGAAGAGACAAAAACAAGGTTCAATTCAGGGGTCATTTGCAATGTGTAGTTTCTTCACTCTTAAGAAACGCAAGCGAAGTGATGAATGAATGAAATCCACAGAGATGGAGAAAAGTTAAAGGCTTGTGCAGCTGCTAATTCATTTTCCTGTGTCTCTTCATTCTCTTTTAGTGCTTGCGTCCCTGAAGTCGGTTCACGAGACTCTGTCCCAGGAGCGGCAGAAGCTGCAAGAAGTGTGGGATTCTAACATCCGTCAGACGAGCTCGTTAGCCGAGGTGAGATCTGCGCTGCGCCGTCGTCTGGATTCTCTGGCACGTGGCTTTCTGTTGTTCATCCCTCTCTCTCTGCCTTCCTCCTCATTAGCCTGCAGCAGTGAGGCGTTCCTCCCACGGGCCTCCTTCGGTGGCAGATTCGGCCGCGGAGTACTTTGACGCCAGCGATGACATCATCTGTGGAAGTTCCTCTGAGGTGTCGGAGGAATCGGGACTCAGTGACGGAAGCACGACCAACTCGGAGCCCGAGGAGGGACACGGTGGGTGAATGTATACAAGCACTGAAACACTGGGCCTCGTGTTGTTGTGTTGACAGTGAAAACAAATGCAACACTGCGTTCACTGTCAGTTGTGAATGATTCATATTGTTCACAGCGTCGGCCACTCGCAAGTACCGCGCCAGCATTTCCAAGACTCCAAACAGCGACGTCCCCAAGAGCACCGGACGTCGAACCGCGCTCCCCGCTCACTGTCCTGACAACAGCCACGTGGGCCTCATGGCCATTCTCTACAACAACATAGGCAAGGACCCGGCACTGATGATGATGATGATGATGATAAACTTTGTTTCTATAGCAGCATTTTTAAGGTGCTTCACAAAATAAAATGCAAAGATAGCAAATCATGGAAACGCCAGATAAAATAGATAGAGGTGGAGTGAGGGGTTGAAGCCACATCGCTCTGCGTTTTCACAAAATTGATCCTCAGCACACGTCTGCTGTCTGCGGCTCATCCGCTGGGTTTTCTGTCCTCCAGGGAAGGACTTGGCCCGGGTGTCCATGCCTGCCGCTCTCAACGAGCCTGTGAACCTGCTGCAGCGGCTGTGTGAGGAGCTGGAGTACAGTGAGCTGCTGGATACCGCCAACAACACGCCGGACCCCTACCAGAGGATGGTGAGCCAGTCCCAAACGTGCACCGTGTTCGTGGGACAGACGGGAAAATGAGGTGAACGCAGTCAGACTTATAATCATGTTTGTGTTTTCTCTCCCGCAGGTTTACATTGCTGCCTTTGCTATCTCTGGTTACTCCACTGCGACGTTCAGAAACCACTACAAACCCTTTAACCCGGTGCTGGGGGAGACCTTCGAGTGCATCAGAGAGGACCGCGGCTTCCGCCTCATCAGCGAGCAGGTATCCAAGGAACAGTTTCAGAGAATAACTTCCTGTTTGTCTCACATCCAATCAAAGAAACTTTGAGGCTTCTATGTAAAATGACCTTTTAAAATCCTAAAAAACGCGATGGGGAGTTACCATCATCACATCTCTGTAAATTAAGATAAAACATGTTTTCCTGTTAACACCAGGTCTGTCACCACCCGCCCATCTCTGCCTGCCACGCAGACTCCGACAACTTCACTTTCTGGCAAGGTGAGACTCTAAATACTCGTCGTCGTCATAATCTCTGATCTATAAAACGGTTTTAAAAAGCTCTTTCTCTGAACATGTATGTGTCACATATATTTATTTACATGCCTCCACAGACCAGCGATGGAAAAATAAATTCTGGGGGAAGTCTCTGGAGATTCTGCCAACCGGCATGGTGAACGTGACTCTTCCAAGGTAAACAGTGGATCTTTATTTTCACCGGTCTGCGTTTGCAGATTTATTGCCGTGTTAGATGAGGCGGGACAGAGGCCATTATGTGTAACTGAGGATCATACGTCATGTGAAATGATGAAGGATCCCTCCATTAGAAATCAGTTGGGAGCAATGAGACATGACATGCCTTCTATGAATGTCACCGTCATCACCATCGTTCAGCCTCACGAGCCGCAGACGAGACAAACACTCAACCATCTGTCCGCACGGTGCTTCAGCATCGACGACGTGATGCAGAAACTAATGAACGGCGACGGTGTCGAGCATCGTGCAGAAAAAACCTCCTCAAAAAACACGTTGATAATAAAACAATTAACTGAACTTAATGGTTAATTGTTTGATTAAAGAAGCCATGTTTTTTCGGACAGCTGAAGGTTTCCACAGGTTCTCTTTTATGTGTAGAAGGGGAGGGTCAGGAGAGGCGCATGGAGCTGCAACATTCAACTTCACCACTAGATGTCACTAAATCCTACACACTGAACCTTAACAATTCAGATCATTGCGTCTTAGACTTTTTAAGACCCTGCAGGAACCCTGGTTCTGTCAATTCACTGTTTCAGTACTTATTAAGTTTGCCGACCGTTGGTGTTCTGCTCAGATACGGTGACCACTACGAGTGGAACAAAGTCGTGACCTGCATCCACAACGTCCTCAGTCAGCAGCGTTATCTGGAGCACTACGGCGAGGTCACCATCCAAAACCTCAAGAGTAACGCCTGCACCTGCAAGATTACGTTCGTCAAGGTGAGTGAAGCGTTCACGTGCTGCTTTAACACTTGAACGTGGTGCCTGCGAGGGGACGACTTTACTTTAATTGAGTTTTATCTTGTCGTAGTCTCGTTATTGGGGTTCAGACACAAATAAGAACGAGGTGCAGGGCACGGTTCTGGACCAGGGCGGGAGCGTCATTCACCGGTTCGGAGGTCTGTGGCACGAAGGCATCTTCTGCGACACTCTGCCGACGCCAAAATGTGTCTGGAAGCCGAGTGAGTCCGTGAATATCCAAAACAACAAAAATGTCCAAGTCTGTTTTAAAGCTGAGTGAAACCATGGAGGCTCTGTCCCCCCACAGATCCTCAGCCAAAGGATCACCAGCTCTACTATGGCTTCTCCACCTTCGCCATGGAGCTGAATGAGCTCAACCCAGACCTGAAGCCTCTGCTGCCTCCCACAGACAGCCGCCTGCGCCCGGACCAAAGGTGGGCAGAGCCGGACGTGTCTGGAAAAGTGAAACACGTCACGTTCTCGTTCATTTAACGATGTCCTGGTGTTTTCGCAGGCTGCTGGAGGAGGGACAGGTGGACGAGGCGGACAGAAAGAAAGACGATATAGAGGAGTTTCAGAGAGCCTGGAGGAAAGAGCTTGGTAAAAGGGGTGAAGAGCATGTCCCACGATTTTTCAAGTAAGTTTAGACTTTATGAAACTTCTGAAAACAAGCACGCTCTCTCTCAAAATTATAT